CCGATACAAAATGACCATGAGAGTAGCATCTTACCTTGTTGTTCATATTGAGCACTTGGAATGTCTCCTTCTCCAGCCGCACAATGACACCCACTGTCTGGAGACTGTAGAAATGCAAGGAACAACCAGTCACAAGCCAGGCTCGTTTGGAGACTAGCCATGCCATTCAACAAGTCAATGCCAATGTTGAGGGCAATTTTTCTTCTTATTTACAGTATGTCAAAGAATCTTACTACGTAACGCCCGATTCCATGAAACATGTTTCAGGCATGCAACTGCAAAACTAGGAAGAAGTCCCTAGACAAAGTTTCTGAGAGCTCCGAAGACTTTAAGACTTGTTCACCATCTGAAAAAACAACAACTTTCCTCCACCCCTCCCAAACCTCTAAATATGGGGGCAAGACCGACCCCACATGGCTGCGGTAAACTTACTCGAGCTGCACCAGATCTCCCAGCTGGAACTGACCCAGGGAGTCCACGCCGGAGCTCATCTCCTGGCACAGCTGCATGTCCTTGGGCAGCACTTTCATCTGACGGAACAGGAAAGAGAAACGAGACGGTGAAACTACCAACAGCAGAACTCCAGTCAGTATTTAAGTCCCAAACTATTCAAAAGAACGGCAAAAAAGGCATTCCTTTGTCACTGTTTATCCGATTACTTGTGGTTGGTCTTGTGTCTGGTCTTGTGACTTGTTTTGTGACTGGTCTTGTGTCTGGTCCTGAGTCTGGTCTTATGGCTGGTCGTGTCAGGTCTTGTGTCTTGTCTTGTGTGTTAAGTCTGGTCTTATGTCTTGTGACTAGTCTTACGTCCAGTCTAGCAGGTGACAACAGTACTATTAGGATGTGGTCTCTGCTTCCAATACCTCATGCATGGTCAGATCAGAGAACAGCACGGCCATATTCTCTTCCACTCGCACCACCAGACCGGTGTCGCCCTCGTAGCGGCCGGCGATGACCTTGACGTGATCACCAATCTTGAAGTGTTTCCTGAGCTCGCTGGCTGGGAATTCCAAGATGTCCTGGAAAATGAGCCACAGGAATCAGATGGAAGAGACCATTAAGCCGAGGATGGAATATTCTAATGTCCACTTCAAATTAAAACGTTCACATTGCAAAGTTTCCAACAGTCTAGGCCAAGTTTGATCAAAACAGACCGTTAAACATAGTCCAACTATCTTTGAACAAATACAGTGGTTACCGGTTCAGTGGCCTTATATGCGTGGTAGCCATCTTACAGGGCAGGTCTTTGTCCACAGCGAAACCTCCTTTGTGCATACCCTATGGAACAAAGAATTGGCCTGCAAGATGGCAGCCATGCAAACCCTCTGTCGGCTACTCGGATACAGTCTACCACAGTTGGCCAGGTAAAAGGTTTCAGTTGCACTACCAGAATGTAATCAGAACTAGAAGTTGTCCACTCTGAAAATCTTTTATTTGGTTATCCCAACGATCCATTAAAAAAAGGGGCTTATTCACCTTCAGATCTTAACGCATGGGCTAGAAAAAAGGTACTTTTCTCCCAGTAGGTGAATACTCTGTCCCTACTTTTCTTTGTTTCCATTTTAACATGGTAACATCCATATAACAAATGGGTGAATTTCTTGTAACTTCCTATGTGGACGGCAGAGATATGGTATTTCCCTTCACTGGCGGTGTTACCCCTCATGCTGGTAAATCCACTTTACCAACTTCTTTGCTTTCATTCATAAAGTGGGTCACATCCATTTCAAAATAGGGGTATGCATTTCACCTTGAGATCTTCATGCGTAGGCAGGACCGATATGGTGTTCCCCTCCACAGTGATGACCTTCCCCTGCAGGTGAATCAACTCTCCCTCGATGACCTCCACGTTGTCACCGGGGGCGAAGCTGTGAGCTTGCTCCTGGCTGCTTTTGGTCTCTGCCACCACTGAGAGGAACAGTCAAGGCTCATAAATTACAACCACCATTGGATGGAATTGATTCCTACTTCAACCAAGCAGTGATTAATTTATTCTTTTCTAATCTTACACCAGAAACTCTTCACATAAACACATGGCCTTCTGATTTCATAATTTTCAGACAAAAAAAAGTTCTACCGTCCTCTTTTCAACTCTAGTTGGGACAGTCAGCAGCTGATATGCACTGCCAAATCTGTTACTATGCAGAACATCCATGGATTTTTTTTACTTGACCATTTTGAATCATGCTCCTCATATATGCTTAATTGAATAACACTCTGAAATGGAAAGGAGCCTGACTATTTTACTATAATGACAGATATAGCCTCACTGTAAAAAATATTTTTCAGTCAATCAACAAAAAGGGC